TCCTCACTCCTAACCTTTCCTATGTCCTTGCCTCCTACACTAAGACACACTACTGGCTTGGTACAGTCCCCTGACAAAACACTATCTATCCTCTTAGCTATATGCCCAATCCCAGCCCCAGGAAAACACACCCTAGTTCTACGTTTCCTATCTCTCTCACAAAAAGTGGTATTTAAGAACCTCACCTGGCTGTCCTCAACTGCAATGACCTTACCACTGGGCAGGGTTTGACCAACAGCCCTTTCTTCTCCTGTCACCACACCGTCTTGCCTCTTCTATTCCACTCTCCACTCCTGCTCCTCCTGACTCTCCTTCGTAGGTGTCCTGCTAGGCAGGACACCCACCTGAAGGAGTTCAGTCCTGAGGGCTTCGTTCTCGCCTCTTAAAACGTCCATCTCTCTCCGCAATTGCTCCAGCTGCAGTTCCAGCTGACTTAACATAGTGGCCGATGGGTCGTCTGTCCCCACACACCGTTCCTCTTCCCCCACAACACAACGGCCCACTGTGGCCATTTTCTATGGTCACAAACACGAGCTAGGGAGGGATCTCTATCATATGTGGTGTCCTGCCGAGAAGCAGAGTTGACAATGAATGGTTGTCAAGGGCAGTTGGTGTCAACGACCGTCTTGACAGATATTACAAGAGTGAAGGGCGATATGATCGAGGTGTATAAACAAAGGTAATATAACAAAGGTATTAAAACTATCCATCCAGGAGCCAACTCGTAGCAATGGTTTTAAATTAGAAATATTTAGATTTAGGCGCGAAATAGGCAAACATTGGTTTAGAAATAGAGTAGTGGATGTGTGGAACAAGTTATCAAACATCATCATTAATTCGAATACGCTGGATAGCTTCAAACATAGGTTGGGTGGATATATGAGAGAAAGGGGTTGGGTATAAGTGGGACTGCCCAGTATGGGTCAATAGGCCCGCTGCAGTATCCTCCATTCTTATGTTCTTATGTTCTTAAAAACTCAGACGGTGAACCGTTCCCATGACAAGTCATGATTGGCTCCTCGTTCTCACGTAATTTCATGTCTGATGTGTGCGCATACGGATTGGGCTTTGATGATATCAGACCGTCATGATATTTTATGATTATTTTGTTGGGTTTCAGACCATTATAATCTTTTATGAATATGTTTGCTGAGGGAATGCTGTGGTAAAGAACCCGCCAGAGGTTGTGTTTTAATGGAAGGAGAGCAGGGCTTAACTCAGGGAGGCGGGACCCTCGACCTCAGCATTTCCAAAGCTGGTGGGGTCATATCATCCATTGCGTTGGGACGCACGGTGTGTAATGGGATGTGCACTACATTGGTGAAAGCTTTCAAGTGCCTTGATGTGCCTCCTGTATGACCCATGTCTCGCTGCTGTATAGCAGGGTGGGGAGGACCACTGCTCAATATATGTGTAACTTTGTAGATAATTTCAGCTCCCTACAGCTGAAGACACGGTTTCGGAGTCTGCCAAAGGCTTGAATTGCACATCTGATCAGATGCTGAATCTCTTCATCGATGTCCGCGGTGATGGACAGGTGGGAGCCGAGATATCGAAAGTGGGTAACATTGGAGAGGGTAGTACCATTAAGCTGGATGGATGGTGGAGGTGTGGCTGAACCACGAGCAGGCTGAAAGACAATCTGAGTCTTACTTTAACTCACCTCAAGGCCGAAGTGTGCATACGCATCTACATGGGTGTTCAGGATCTCATGTATAGGTCGCGTTCAGTGTGAGCGACAAGGATGAGGTCGTCTGCATACTGAAGCTCAGTAATGGAAGATGCCGACACCTTTGTTCCTGCCTGGAATTGTCTTATGTTGAAAAAAAACCTTCATCCGGTACTCGATGTCCACCCAGCCGGCGAAATTGACGTTGGCACGAGTAAGGAAGGCAGCCAAGAAAATGGAAAAGAGAGTTGGTGCCAGTACACACCCTTGTTTAACCCCCGTTTGGATGGGGAAGAACTCAGACTGGGTGCCATTGTATAGGACACTGCCGTTCATGCCATCGTGGAGTTGCCTCACAATGGCGATGAATTTTTTGGGGCAGCCAAAAAGGCTGAGGGTCCACCAGAGGGCTTCCCTGTTGACCGAGTCGAAGGCCTTCGTTAGGTCGATGAAAGCCATGTACAGGTCACGACGCTGTTCTATACACTTTTCCTGTATCTGACAGGCAGTAAAGATCATGTCAGTCGTGCCACGTGATGGTGTAAGGCCGCATAGAGATTCTGGGAGGAAGTTTTCCGCCTCAGGAAGAAGAATTTTTAGAAGGACTCGGGAGATAATCTTGCCAGCTATGGACAGCAGCAAAATACCGCGTAGTTGCCACAATCTGACCGATCTCCCTTGTTCTTATATATATATATTGACGATGGACGCGTCTTTAAGATCTTGGGGGATTTCCTCCTTCTCCCATATATTTTCCAAGATTGAGTGGAGATGGTCCTGAGGCTTTGTTATTTTTCATCTAGTTGATGGCAGTAGCTACCTCACCCAGGGATGGAGGATAGCTGAGGCGGGTCAGCTCTGGATGCTGAGGGGCCTGCTGGGTATTCAGGACATCCACATCGGTGTTTCGGTTGAGCAGTGAATGGTAGTGGTCTTTCCAGCGCCTTAATTAGGGAGTTACGGTCGGATGAGCGGAGGGGGACTGCTCTTCGTGTGATTGGCCCATAAAATGTTTTAGTGGAATTGAAAAATTTGTGTATCTTGTGCTGATCTGGCAAATTTTGTGTTTCATATAGTTTATTTTTAAACCAGTCATTCTTTAGAATGCGAAGTTCCCTCTGGGCCGCCCCTTTTTTTTGCGGAAAGTATCAGCTTTGGTCCGAACTGAGGGATGTTCTGCCTTTCAGTTCAAGCAACACGTTTAACATCGACGAGTACATTGATTGCCAGGTCATTTTCATCAAACCAGTCCTGGTGTATTCTTTCGATCTGGCTGAGGGTCTCTTTTCAGGTTTTTGTCATGAGTGTCGAGAATACCCCATTCAGCACTAGGATTTGGGTTGTTTGTGTCGGGTTCTTTACCAGCCCATGTTCGAGCTATTCTCTGAAAGCATGTGCTACTACTGAATCTTCCAGACGCTTAGTGTTAAAACCTCTTCTGGAGGCATGCTGCCTTCGCCGTTTTGGGGCGACGTGAAGTGAGAGCTTGGCTCTGACAAGCCGATGATCAGTGTCGCAGTGGTCTGAGCCACGCATGGTACAGGTGATGAGGACATCTCGGCGATCAATGAGATGCCAGTGTTTGGGTCGTGGGTGTTGTCACGAACCCTTGAACTTGTCGGCCTGCTTAAACAAGGTATTGTTGATAGTGAGGTTGTGTGCAGCACAGTTGCTGAAGAGGAGTAGGCCGATGGAATTACACTTGCCTAGTCCATTTCTCTCTATGGTTCCCTGCCAAATGTCAGCATCTCCGCCAACTCTGGCATTGAAGTCACCAAGGAGCAGAACCTTATCTTCTCTGGGGATAGAGGTTAGCACTTTGTCGAGGTCGGCGTAAGAGGCCTCCTTGATGTCTTCCTCTGCATCCAGTGTTGGGACGTATGCACTGATGAAAAAGGTATGACGTGAATGATTCAGTGGGACTCGGAGCGTCACGAGGCGCTCGTTGATCCCAATAGGCATTTCAGTTAGACTGTGTAGAATGCGTTGGCGGATGGAAAAGCCAACTCCGCAGCAAGCTCACCCTTCCAGAAGAAGGTATAGCCAGACCCCCGTTTTGTGAGTTGACCCTCGTCTGGGAGCCATGGCTCATTGATGGCTGCTATGTCGATGTTATACCTAGCCAGCTCTTTTGCCACAAGGGTTGGTTCTTCGTTCAGGACGCTCATTTGTGTCAGTATTAAGAAGGATCTTGAAATTCCATGCAGCGACCATAAGAGGTTGTATAGTTTGCTTTTGTTTGGATATGTGATTCTGAATGTGTTTTCGACTGCATAGGGATGACTTTACTGGGTGCAGTTGCCCAGTCAAGTTGTTGTTATTTTAGACAGGCTATGTTTAGGGCACCTTTTCTAGCCCCCTCCCCATGTGGGTTGAGCAGAGTGGCTCCTCGAAATGGCTGCTTAGTCGCACAGACAGGACCAAATTGCACTGTTGCCTAGATCCCGGTGCATAAACAACCATCTTAACTGTGCCGCCCATGTGCAGAATTGTGACTAGAGACTCCCGGCAGTTATCTTTGCCTGTCCCCATCGCCACTTGTCTTTCGCCATAGGACTTTTGGGGGTATAGGGGTTTTGATGATGATGAGAGGTATGGTGAGCTGGATGATGGCAGAGCATGAGTTGATTTCTGTGGTGAGGCAGGAGTGCAGGCTGCAACCATACATTTTGGCTCTCCCTCTTCATGATCCAGTGGTGCAAGTGTTGCAACGACTGGTGAGAGGGAGAGTTGCAATGGACTGCCAATAGCCCAGTTTGTTAGGTATCGGCTTAGTATCCTGGCCATCAGGCATTGCCTTAGCAAGCCGGTGTAGTCATTGGGTTCCCATGGTGGTCACCTCTTCTGCCTATACCGCTGTTGGGGTCTTGTTGGAGTTAAGTAAGATTTTTCGTTCGGGGTTTACTCCTGTACCCTTATACATACCGAGGTTAATGTGCAAGGCAGCGGGGCAATGGTTGGTAGGCGCCAGGACGGGTCCATTTGCCGGTTGGCCTACGCGCCGTCCCTCTTGGGCCCACTGATACTCCGAGATCCCCCTGCTGGTCTACGCTGGGTACATGAGGCACCTAGTTACTGTGTGTTGCCACAGCAGCCACAGCAGGAGCCTTGAAGTTGAAGAGGAAGTGTACTGGCGGGAGAAGTCTTGTGCAAGATTCTTCCCTTTTGCCACGAGGGTTAGCCAGCGGCTGTAGCTCAGAGCGAGAGGGAACAAGCAGAGCTTGTACCTTAACACTAACATAATGCTGCCGCACTAAATGCACATCACCATCCTGTGTGCGACCCCACACACACACACACACACACACACACACTTAACACACACACTTACTATGATTGAGGGTCAGGAGACACATCAGTTCGTGGTGTTCCGGGAAGCGTGTGCAGTCAAACTTGCTCGGCCAGGTGAGACCCATATCTGTCATGACACCCTCACACCCCTCTCTCGCCTGCCGGAGGAAAAAGGGAGGTAAGGAGGAGTAAAGGAAGAAGAGCTGAGGATGGGTGGTGGAAGATGAAGGGTGAGGAGGGAGGATGGGTGGTAGAAGTGGAATAAGAGGGAAGGAGGAAGGAGTTAAATACGGGAAAGAAGGGAAGAAAATGAGTGTAGGGTGAAGTGAGGAGGAATTACGGAGGGAAGAGGGTGAGGATGGTGTTAACAAAAGAAGGAAAAAGATGAGATTGAGAGATATAAAGGGGATGAGGAGGGAGAGAGAAGGGAATGTAGACAAGGATAAGAAAACGAGGGGATGAGGAGTGACGTGAAGATAACGAAGGTAGAGGTGATAAACATGGGGAGTTTGGGCAGGTATGTTATGTTGTGTTGTGATGTGTTGTGTTGTGTTGTGTTGTGTTAGGTTGTGTTGTTTTGTGTTAGGTTGTGTTGTGTTGTGTTAGGTTGTGTTGTGTTGTGTTAGGTTGTTTAGTGTTAGGTTGTGTGGTGTTAGGTTGCTATGTTATGTTATGTAAGGTTTGGTTAGGTTCGGTTAACGAGGGGAAAGATGTTGGACAGGTAAGGTTGGAAATTATTAGCCAAAGTTGGTAAATCAAGAGTCAGAGTAAGTGGATTAACAGCCAGAGTAGGTGATTAATAGCCAGAGTAGGTGAATTAATAGCCAGAGTAGGTGAATTAATAGCCAGAGTAGGTGAATTAATAGCCAGAGTAGGTGAATTAATAAACAGAGTAGGTGAATTAATAGCCAGAGTAGGTGAATTAATAGCCAGAGTAGGTGAATTAACAGCCAGAGTAGGTGAATTAATAGCCAGAGTAGGTGATTAATAGCCAGAGTAGGTGAATTAACAGCCAGAGTAGGTGAATTAATAGACAGAGTAGGTGATTAATAGTTAGAGTAGGTGAATTAATAGACAGAGTAGGTGAATTAATAGCCAGAGTAGGTGAATTGACAGCCAGAGTGGGTGAATTAATAGACCAGAGTAGGTGATTAATAGTCAGGTAGGTGATTAATGGCCAAGGTAGGTGATTAATAGCCAGAGTAGGTGAATTAATAGACAGAGTAGGTGAATTAATAGCCAGAGTAGGTGATTAATAGGAGTAGGTGATTAATAGCCAGAGTAGGTGAATTAATAGCAAGGTAGGTGAATTAATAGCAGTAGGTGAATTAATGCCAGAGTAGGTGATTAATAGTCAGAGTAGGTGAATTAACAGCCAGAGTAGGTGAATTAGTGGCCAAGTAGGTGATTAATAGCCAGAGTAGGTGAATTAGTAGCCAGAGTAGGTGATTACTAGCCAGGTAGGTGATTAATAGCCAGAGTAGTTAATAGCCAGAGTAGGTGAATTAACAGCCAGAGTGGGTGATTAATAGTCAGAGTAGGTGAATTAATAGCCATTAGGTGATTAATAGCCAGAGTAGGTGGATTAAAGCCAGAGTAGGTGATTAATAGTCACCAGGTAGGATTAATGGTCTGATTAGGTGAATTAATAGCCAGAGTAAGAGATTAATAGTTATAGTAGGTGAAATAATAGCCAGAGTAGGTGATTAATAGCCAGAGTAGGTGAATTAACAGCCAGAGTAGGTGATTAATAGTCAGAGTAGGTGAATTAATAGCCAGAGTAGGGGATTAATAATCTGATTAGGTGAATTAATAGCCAGAGTAAGAGATTAATAGTTATAGTAGGTGAAATAATAGCCAGAGTAGGTGATTAATAGTTAGAGTAGGTGAATTAATAGACAGAGTAGGTGAATTAATAGCCAGAGTAGGTGAATTAATAGCCAGAGTAGGTGAATTAATAGACAGAGTAGGTGATTAATAGCCAGAGTACGTGAATTAATAGCCAGAGTAGGTGATTAATAGCCAGAGTAGGTGAATTAATAGACAGAGTAGGTGAATTAATAGACAGAGTAGGTGATTAATAGCCAGAGTAGGTGAATTAACAGCCAGAGTAGGTGAATTAACAGCCAGAGTAGGTGATTAATGGTCAGAGTAGGTGAATTAATAGCCAGAGTAGGTGATTAATAGCCAGAGTAGGTGAATTAATAGACAGAGTAGGTGAATTAATAGCCAGAGTAGGTGATTAATAGTCAGAGTAGGTGATTAATAGTCAGAGTAGGTGAATTAACAGCCAGAGTAGGTGAATTAACAGCCAGAGTAGGTGATTAATAGTCAGAGTAGGTGAATTAATAGCCAGAGTAGGTGATTAATAGCCAGAGTAGGTTAATTAATAGCTAGAGTAGGTGAATTAATCGCCAGAGTAGGTGATTAATAGTCATAGTAGGTGAATTAATAGCCAGAGTAGGTGAATTAATAGCCAGAGTAGGTGATTAATAGCCAGAGTAGGTGAATTAATAGCAAGAGTAGGTGAATTAATAGCCAGAGTAGGTGATTAATATCCAGAGTAGGTGAATTAATAGCCAGAGTAGGTGAATTAATAGCCAGAGTAGGTGATTAATATCCAGAGTAGGTGAATTAATAGCCAGAGTAGGTGAATTAATAGCCAGAGTAGGTGAATTAATAGCCAGAGTAGGTGATTAATATCCAGAGTAGGTGAATTAATAGCCAGAGTAGGTGAATTAATAGCCAGAGTAGGTGAATTAATAGCCAGCTTAGATGATTTAATTAGGGGTGGGAATGGCGAGTGTTGGATTGAGGTCGAGGAGTAGAACCAGAAACTAGCACTACACTCTATACAATGGTAAATAATGTCTAATTAACACATGTAAACAATGACACAATTACATTAATACAAGCATAATAAATTCAACACATCCAAACCAGTGTTGGAAGCTACATAATATGATAGTGATTATTACCAGCTGCTGCCCCTAGGAGTTTGAGTCTCACAAAACATTATCAGTCATTGTGATAAGCATTATTTTCTCTAGAAAGTGATAAGTGAACTGTTTATTTCTCTTTTGTATACAGTAAAGTTGTAAGTTTTCTAGAATTTAGAGTCATAACGTGTAATAAACTTATAGTGCTACGTATATGAACAAAAGGCTATTTACAGTAGCAATCATCCTTTTGTTATGTACACAAAATCGCGTATAAGGAAGTTGGTGAAGAATGACTAAAGGCATTCAAATATAGTTTGATATATTTTGGGGGTTCAGTGAAGTATGGGAGTTTTGCTTTGACAGAGATGGGCTGTATGATGCTTGATGGCACAATTTCGTTCTTCATCATATTGTTACGTTCAGAGTTGGTCAAAACAATATGTCGTTTTCATGGTTATTCCTCATGTTATATTGTATTATGGCTGAATATCTCACAGGACTGATAATAAATACGAGCAAAATTATAAGAAAAAAAAATGAACAAACAAAAAACAAAATGTTTCGTGTTTGATACACACGAGATCAGCGACGTTAAGTGTATTTCCATTCAGAGTTGTTGGCAACGTATTGTTAATAAATGTCGTTAATGGTGTGAAATATAATGTATTCTAATAATTCGTAATCCACGAAGGAAGTTCCCATCACCAAGTAGAAACATGGGACACTCACTGATAACTCAGACTAGTTCAAATATTCAACCATATACTGTACCTTATTATAAAGTTCCAATTGGTTTACAAATTTCAAAGCAGAAAAAATAAGAGGCATCCGTGTCCTCTCTCACCCTGACTGTGATGCCTGCCACCAGGTGCACGCAGGTGACAGGTGGGTTGACTCGTAAATGTTTCAGGGTAGAGCGTTTGAGTGGGCAGCTCGCTGTCTGTAATTCGCTTCATTTCGAGTAAGAAAAAAAATTACAGGTGAGAGGCTTAGTCTAGTGACTTCAATAATAAATAAGTCTTAAAGAGTAGATGCTGGTACAAAAAGCCATAAAGCAGATAGAGAAAGAAACATAATGATGGGAAAGAGTCTTGGTAAGAAATGTTTGCGAGTTATAATCCCAGCTCACAAGGACTTGCCATTTATAACACAGACTTCCTTGCACAAGAGAACGCATAAGCTGAAGAAAGATTACTGTGGTATTGTTGTAGTTTTTTCATAATATTTCAACCACCATTTTACAGTCCTGTGAATGTCTTTCCCGAATGATTGATTGGCTGACAGAATTTTTCTACCACACTTGGCCTGACCCAATCAAGCGGCGCTGCCAGGCCTTGCAGTTCTTTGGTTAGAAATTTGAAGCATAATATTATCAAAAGTCAATGATTTTTATAATATTAGTGAATTGCGTTTGTGTAGTAGTGGTGCCGTTTTTATTAAGTATCGGTACCACCCCTATTGCGTGTGAACTCGGGGCTAGGTGACGTTACTCCAGGCACCTCAGACAAAAGTGGGTCACCAGGTGATCCCTCCTGGTTGCCCACAACACCTCGGCAGCCTCATCCGCTCTACTAGCACAGTACGGCGAGACCAAGGTCTAGAGACTATTGATCTTTATGAATCCAGGGAAAAAAGTCACAGGAAAAAAAGTCACAGAAAAATATCACCTAACCCAACCCAACCCAACCCAACCTAACCTAACCTAACCTAACCTAACCTAACCTAACCTAACCTACGTGCATCATATATAAATTGTGTTGTCAATACGTAAACGTCATGTATTGTCAGTTAATAACAGTTTTAAAATATTTTTAGTTTTATTACCTTAAATGTGACTTTTTTCCTGTGACTTTTTTCCTAACCAAAACTGACTTTTTTCCTGTGACTTTATTACCGTTCACCGATCTTTATACCTTAGGCGAGGCAAGCACAATAGCTGCACCACCGGGCTCTATGAGTTGTCAGGCCTACGACTACTACATTTCTTTGTTCATCAGATATCACATCTACTCCAGCCCCGCCTCACGCAGTCTTATTATATAATACATTAGCCTGGCAAAACCTCTTACCTGTGAAGCAAAGGATGGCCTCCCTCTTCCCTTGGTGCTAATGAGCTTGGTCGTCACCAGTGAACCACACTAACGGGGAGGGCTTACCTATTCACAAAGGCAACGGATCTTATCTATTTACAAATATAGTGGATTCTACCTTATTTCAAAGGGGATCAGAGGTTACCTGTTCACTCTGGGAGTTACCTGATTACAGATGAAGCAGTAATTACCTAATTACAAAGGTAACGCATCCAACCTGTGTACATTACAAAAGCATATATTCTCACCTAAGTAGATATTACATATATTTTATGATAAAATATCTTACCTGTTGACAAAGCCAGCGGATCTTAACTGGTTACATTGACAGCGCGGTTCTTACCTGTTTACAGAGGGAGCGGCAAGGGGGCAGGTGGAAGCCGTAGTTTGTACACACGGGCATATAAAGCGTACACAGGAACTCCCTCAGCACTTCTGAGCACTCCACCTGTTCTCGAAAGGCGATTTGGAGTAATAATAATCATAATAATAATAATAATAATCATAATAATAATAATAATAATAATAATAATAATAATAATAATAATAATAATAATAACAAATAGGTTATGATATACTGTATAGCTTAGACTATTCAAAACCAATTGCATATATTAAGTGAAAACCATTTTGATGTGAATAAGTAGAATGAGTCCGATAGTTAAAAACACAAGAATAAACCATTCAAACATGTGAGATTATGCTCATTGTGTTGTAGAATAAATTGTTGACACACATGGAAGCAAATTAGGATTAAGTCTTGATAAAAGTGAACTAAAAAGAGAACAGACTACCTGGAAACTATATGACTATCTTACTCTTTTATTGGTTCTGCGTTAGAATGTGGGGATTGAGATGTTAGTACCCATAACACACTCACTGAACGCATTCCAACCCATAACACATTCTGACAGTACAACACACTCTTAGACCACACTCTTACAGTACTACCATGCACTTAAAAAATCTCCTATCAACAACACACACTTACAGTAACAACATACTCATTGAACACACCTATACGTAACACACTTACAGTACCAACACGCTCTTGAAAAACACTCTTACTCATCTCACACACTTACAGTACCACACACCCAGAGAACATATTCCTATCCATAACAGACTCTTATAGTATAACACACTCTTAAAACATACTCCTCCCCATAACACACTCTTAGAACACACTCCTACCCATACCACTCTTACAGTACAACACACTCTTAGATTACAGTCCTACCCAAAACACACTCTAACAATACTGCCACACTCTAAAAACATATTTCTCCCCAATAACACACTCTTACGGTACAACACATTCTTTGAACACACATCAACCCCTGACACACTCTCACAGCACAAAATACTATTAGAACACACTCCTACCCATCTTACAGTACAACACAGAACACACTGTTACCCATGACATACTCTTATAACACACTATTAGAACACACTCCTACCCATCTTACAGTACAACACAGTCTTAGAACACACTGTTACCCATGACATACTCTTATAACACACTATTAGAACACACTCCTACCCATCTTACAGTACAACACAGAACACACTGTTACCCATGACATACTCTTATAACACACTATTAGAACACACTCCTACCCATCTTACAGTACAACACAGAACACACTGTTACCCATGACATACTCTTATAACACACTATTAGAACACACTCCTACCCATCTTACACTACAACACAGTCTTAGAACACACTGTTACCCATGACATACTCTTATAACACACTATTAGAACACACTCCTACCTACAACACATACATAGATTACAACCACACAACACAGACACGGAGGCAGGTCAGCCTCGGGTGTCGCCTGCTAAGTTGTGTTGTGGGGGAAGGTTGCCTCCCGAGCAAGACTAATTTATATCCTTCATTTTCTTACACTTCTTATCTTTTCTGAAGATTCTCAGTGACCTCCTTGTGTGTGTGTGTGTGTGTGTGTGTGTGTGTGTGTGTGTGTGTGTGTGTGTGTATTGTTATGCCATAACTTATCAACTTGAATTACGTTAAAGATTAATATACTAATGAGGGCACATATGATACAAGAAACAAATTGGTAACTCAGCACATCTTAGCCCTGGGTTAAACTACAGCCCTCTCTTTATCCCAACAGTTCAGGAGTGAAGGTTTGGAATTATACACATTACAAAAGATTTAAATAAAATTTAATGACAAAAAATTACCATAATAAGTGTGTAGGTTACATAAGATAAATTAAATCAAAAGAATAAAGAATTAACATGATCCTGAATAACAACTACTATTGTCACCGTGAATAAACAATGATCCACCTTACAACACAATAATTGATTGCACTTTACCTACCATGAATAATAATAGAGCAGCACTGAATATAATACTCAACTAAACCCGATTTGAAAAAGGTATCCACCACTGACAAACTCAAACATCCTTCCACCTCCAAGGCCAGCCAATGAATGGCATCCCTCCATACTCCAGGGGACTACAAACCTAATATTAATGAACTCCAACATTAAGCTGCAAAAATACCTAAATACATACAGACAAATTTTTAATGTATCAAGTACCAGCTCTGCTCACACACAATTACACAAAATACCTTATTTACACTATTTGAGGGTAACATGTCTAAAAAATATTTACTATGCACAGAGCAACGCACCACTGTACATTACGCCATGCATAACAGTGTATGTGTATGTGTGTGTGTGTGTGTGTGTGTGTGTGTGTGTGTGTGGGTGTGTGTGCACAGGGTGGTGTAATGTGTCTAGTGTGGCAGCATTATACCGCCGCTGGCTAGCCCTCGTGGCGAACAGGGAAGCAACTTGCATAAGTCTTCCCCTGCCAGTACACAGCCTCTTCGCCATCAAGACTCCTGCTGTGCCTCCTCGTGGTAACACACGGTAACTGGGTGCTTCGTGGGACCAGGCTAAACCAGCAAGGGATCTTGGAGTAGCAGTGGGCCCCAGAGGGACGGTGCATAGGCCCACTGGCTCATGGACACGTACTGGCACCTACCAACCATTGCCCGCTGATTTGCGGATTAACCTTGGTAGGTATAAGGCTACAGGAGTAAACCCCAAACGAAAAATCTGCGGTGGAGCCCCGCATCAGGCAGATATTCTTACAGAGCTTCAATAAAACCCCAACGGTGGTATAGGCGGAAGAGGTGACCACCATGGGAACCCAACGACTACAACGGACTAGGGCAATGCCAGATGGACAGGCTACTAAGGTAAACCCTAACAAACTGGGCTATCTGCAATCTATTGCAGCTCTCCCTCTCCCCAATAGTTGCAACCTTTACACCACTTGATCAGGAAAAGGGAGTGCCAAGATGTGTGGTTCTAGCCTGCCCTCCTGCCTCACCACATAAATCAACTCATATGCAGCCATCATCCAGCTCATCATACCTCACATCATCATCAAAACCCCCATAACCCCAAAAGTCCTATGGCGATGGACGAGTGGCGATGGGGACAGGCAGAGATGACTGCTGGGAGTCTCTAGTCACAACTCTGAACATAGGCAGCACAGATAAGATGGTTGTTTATGCACTAGGATCTAGGCTGCAGTGCGTTCCGTTCCTATCTGTGCGACTGAGCAGCCCTTTTGAGGAACCACCCTGCTCACCCCACATGGGGAGGGGGCTAGAAAAGGTGCCCTAAACATAGCCTGCCTAAAAACTAAACCCTGACTGGACAAATACACCCAGTAAGGTCATCCTTATGCAGTCGAAAAAACAATCAAAATCACAGATAGAAACAAAGACAAATTATGCAACCTCTTATGGTCGCTGCATGGAATGACAGGACGTGAAAGACGAACTGCTCTTGTGATAAAAGAGATGGCTAGGTATAACATCAATATAGCAGCCATTAGTAAATCCCGGCTCAAAGACGAGAGTGAACTCACAGAACGGGTGTCTGGAAGGGTAAGCATGCTGAGGAGAGAAATCTCATTTATTGAGTTCGCTTTGCCATCCACCAACGCATCCTACACAGGCTAACTGGATGCAGAGGATGACATCAGGGAAGTCTTTTACGCCGACCTCGACAGAGTGCTAATCTCTATCCCCAGAGAAGATAAGGTTGAGCTCCGTTGTTACTTCAATGCCACACACTAATAATGACACTCACTGCGTGTCCTCCTGGAAAAGTTCATGTCCTTTCCTAGGATACACAACGTTTACTTAAAGGAAACCTGGCGATCATCAGGTACAGAGACAGGTTAAAGCATCTTAATTTCACTCCCCCGAAAGACGTAGAGTGAGGCGATATAATCGAGGTGTATAAATGGATATCAGGGCTAAACAAAGGTAATGTTACCGCCACAGTAGGATAAACTAGAAGAGAGAGAGAGAGAGAGAGAGAGAGAGAGACAGAGAGAGAGTGTTTGCAACGAACTTTGCTGAGGTGTTAAATGTGAAACAGATGGCTCTCACCTCGGGGCTGACTAACTCTCTCCCTGTGGAGTTCAGAAGATAGTCTCCAGCCGTTCAGTGAGCTAACAAGTCAGCGAGCTAATATGTCCTACATTAGACCCGAAACACGTAAGTTTTATATGGTTTAACACCCCACTGTACTCAATTATATCATATGTAGTTGTTAATAGTGAAGGAACGTACGAGTGAATTAATTATCTCATACCTAACATATGTAATTTGTACTCTGCAGGTTTTGACCGAATAAAGAACAATCGAGTCCTCGTGCAAGGGTCTCATTATCCCACAGTCGCTCATTGGGCGGTTACAGTCAAAACGTGTTACGTGTTTCGGGTCTAATGTTGCACTTATTAGCTCCCTGACTTGTTAGCTCACTGAATGGCTGGAGACTATATTCTGAACTCCACAGGGAGCGAGTTAGTCAGCCCCAAGGTGAGGGCCATCTGTTTCATATTTAACACCTCAGCAAAGTTCGTTGTAAACACTCCCTCTGTCTCTCTCCTGTCTCCCTTTTTCTCTCTCTATCCCTCTTTCTCTCTCTCTCTCTTCTCGTTTATCCTACTGTGGCAGTAACAGGTAATATAACAAGGGTATTCAAACTATCCAACCAGGAGCAAACTCGTAGTAATGGTTTTAAATTAGACAAATTTAGATTTAAACCCGAGATAGGTAAACATTGCTTTTGAAATAGAGTAGTGGATGGATGGAACATCAGCATTAATTCGAATACGCTGGATAGCTTCAAACATAAGATGGATGGATATATGAACGATAGGGGTTGGGTGTAAAGTGGACTGCCCAAAATGGGCTAATAGGCCCCTTGCAGTTTCCTCCATTCTTATGTGCTTATGTTAAGAGGTGAGGGGGTGTGGCCGTCATGGTTGTGTCTTTCTTTTCAAGGTGATAATAAACATCATAACTGGAGATGTTCGGGGTACTTGGTTCTAACTACAGGGGAGAACATAAACACCTGTAGAGTTCTGTA